CAGGAGTATGTGAGAGAAAAACACAATGCCCAAGGCATCCACTGTTTAAACAAATTGAAATTCCAGGGAAAGTATATTTATCCAACTTAATTTCTTTTCTCTGATTTACCCATAATCTCTTCTCCATTGAACATAATTATTGTTTTCTTAACTTTATTAAGTGTACCTTGATATAGATGTAAATACACATACACACACATAGTCTTAAGTCAGTGTTTATAGCACACTGATTTTCATCCTCTTGAGTGCTATGAAGAAAGGATACATTTATATGTGGATAAGAATGCATGAAAACACACATGGAAATAGGGTGATGGCTATGAACGTTATTTCCTCTTACTCTGAATTATTTCTTTAGAAATCTCCAGAAAACAAATTTAACTGATAATTCCAGTATTGTAGTAGTCTGAGTTACCAAAGTCAACTAGGAACTTTAGAAAATAAATGTAATTTAAAGAACAATATAATCTCTGATGTTAAGAATTTGTCAGAAGTATAAGACAGTATCCTAGCTAAGTTTTAAGGTAAATGGAATAATTCTTAGAGCTACATAATTTGCAGTATAGTATGAGTTTCCAAGAGGTTTTTATTTCATGAAGATAATAGTTTTAATTACACTCAATTTAAACACCTGTTTACATATATAATCTTAAAGGTTAATGTAAGTAATAATAGTTATCTGACTTATGAGGCAAGTGTTAAGGATTAATGTAACATTTTTTTGTTTAAAAAAAAAGTCTTGCGTGAAATAAACTAAAACTGTTTCCATTTTCACTTCACACTGTGATAGAATCAAGGAGAACACATTTAACTATGTTTTAAACCCAAATTCACAGAGCAATTTAAATTATCAAATGCTTTAATTGGATTCCATGTTATTATGTGAAGTTGAATTAAAATGTAATTATTTTGATTCCCTTCACCTAAAAATCTTAAAGCCTGCTAAATCTTGGGTAGAAGAGTTCCATACAGCCTTTCAGGATCATGAATACTGGGTCTGATGGTCATTTGCATATCTGTGTTCTTTATCCAGTAGCTGACCCAGGTGCTAAGGGGTTTAAGCTAAGTCTCTCCCTTTTCTCTTGCAGAAACTCAAGAAAGAGAGTTAGGGAGTTCCAAAGCAATACGATTAACTTGCACTAAGAGGGGATAAAAGAGATATATGAAATAATATTATTACCTAGTGGAACACAAATCATGTAAATTTTATACTTAAAATAAACTTGAGATAGTGTTTAATGGTGGTTCCAGTGGGGCAGACAGGTGAGGGAAGGGAACATCTTACAAATAGAAATTATTTTATATCTTAAATATTTAAATAAAGATAGCAAAATAATTTAAATACAAACACAGTAGTACATTATATTAATTTCTTCTACTTTCTTGTGTTTTGAAACAATAATAAAAAACATTTTAAGTTTGTAATCATCATGGTTTTCCCACAGGTGGATGGACCCCTAAGCCTCTGGAAGGCCTGTTTAGTAGCTGAAAATAGAAATGGTTATAATAGCCCCTCAGGTACCCCAGAGTACCTCTGTTCCCCAAACACCTTCCTCTTTTTTTTTTTTTTTTTTAATTTAACATAATTTCAAATGTGGCCCCCTCCTGGCCTTCTGTACTAATGTAGTAAAGCCTTTTGCATCTGGAGGCAGATGTAATTCCTCCCTAAAAGTCCTGGACTCTAATTAGGGCAGAGCAAGTGCCCATGTTGGAGAAGAACCATCTCCAGTGCCATGTGGGTGAATAAAACCATACTTTCTGATAGCTAATCAGTGGCTACTGACATATCACTTCCACCTGGGCTGCTGCAGTTCCTGGAATGCCAGGGCTATTTCTTCCCTTTCACCTAGTCTTTGACTAGGAACTCTCCAGAAGCCATAGCAGTGTCCTTTCCTTGAGGCCTGAATTGCCAGGCCTGTTGCTTGTACCACACAGAGGACCCTGGGACCTGACTATTCTGGCAACCAAGTGCCTGGCTCTTCCCTTGTGCCTCATGCCCCTCTTTGCCCTGGTCACCGCCAGACAACATAGGCCTGGAAAGTACCATGGACTGGGTTCCCTCCCCCCAAGTCTAGTAATCTCCAGCTTAACTGGAGATTTTACTCCATTCATATTTGTTGTGATTAATGATACATTTATACTTACTTTATGCTCCATACTTGTCTCAATTCTTTATAGTTTTCCCTCCTCTTGCCACCTTTTTGAATTTTTTTCCCTTCAGTCTATTGTTTTCTTTCTACCAGAAGCATGATATTCTATTTCAATTTGGGGGGGGTAGCCTAGAAATGCTTTAACTGAACATGCTTAAAATCAGCCATTATCTTTATCTTCCTCTGGAGCATAGAGGGTATGGAGAGCATTTTTAACTCCAATCACTCCCTCCTGATTTATGTGACACTATGTCCTATTTTAGTTATCTCACTTTTTTAAACACCACAGATTAAACATTATTACTATTTTACATAGTCAATGTTTGTTTAAATTTACCAGTACAATTGCCGTTTTCCTTGTTTGTATTGTAAACCATTCTTCTGTCACCTTCCTTCTGAGAATTTGAAGGAATTCTCCAGAATTTGTGTTAGTGAGGTTAGGTTTGTGGTAAATTTTTTATCTGAACATGTCTTTTCAGATGATTTTAGTAAACATATATTTTAAATTGACAGTTATTTTCCCTTGTCACTTTAAAGGTGTAACTCACTGTTTTCTAGCTTTCAATATTGCTGCTTAAAAATAGCAATTTATATTTCTTCAGTAAATAATAATGGTTTACTCTTTGGCTGTTTTTTAAAGATTATTCCTTTGTCTTCAGTTTCATTAGGATGTGTCTAGGTGATAAATTTCTATTTCCTTTATCTGTTTGGGATTGGTTGAGCTTCACAAATCTATGGATTGGTGTTTTTCATTAGCTGTGAAAACTCTTGGCCATTAACCCTTCAGTATCAAGTAGTGTTTCCTTTGCCCTGTGTTTTAAGTTATAACTTTCTGTAGCTCCAAAGAGACATTTTAAAACTTTCTTACTTAATCATCCACGTCTCCTGATGGCTCTGTCATATTTCCACTTCTCTGTGTCTTTACACTGTAATCTCTTCAGCTTCATTTTCTAGCTCACTGTTTCTCTCAGCCTTATCTAATCTGCTATTTAACACAATCCCTGATGTCCAACTTCTATAATTCTGTGAACTAGAAACTTTTTAGCCACTTCAGATCCCCTCTACCTCACCTGTATTTTGTTCCAGCTGTTGCTGTGGGGAGTTTCCTTAGAATTCACACATGGTGCAAACTCAAAGTACCTGGCCCCCATCCTCAGTGTTTTCCTGTTATGGCAAAGCATGAGAGGCTCTGGGCTCATGCCCTGATGGCAACTGAGCGCGATACATGGCCCCGTGGGATACGAGGTGACTATGTAACCTGCCATGTCCACCAGAGGGCCTTGATGAGCTGTACTAAATGTTCAGACTCACACATTTTGTTGACTCAGAAGGACACGGGACAGAAACCACACCTTGCCAGGGTAGCCGCGTCAGGCATTCCTCTTCCAGTGCAGTTCCTTCTAATATTCCACAGAGCAGTCCATGTAGCCACCTGGAATAACTCAGGTTCGCACACTCAGATCCACATTGAGCAAGAACAGGAACTGCTCAGGCTCAAAAGCTTCATTCTACACAGGATCCCAGCTCTCTTGCAATAAAACCACTGGTATAGTTTCCAGGTTCCCATGTGCTGGTTACAAGAGTCCCTGCATGCAGGGAAACCCAAACTATGGTATCCCCATCAAGAATTGATAGTTCCTCAAAGTCCGGATTTGGTTCACCAATCAAAGTCATGTTTACCATAAACAATGTTGCTGAGTAATATCATTGATATACCACCTTATCAGGTTATCGGAGCTAGAAATTTAAACAAAATCCCATGAAGAGCAAGAGTCTTGTGAATCCCAGTCACGTGGTCAGAAATGCCCACAATGGGCACTGTCAGACACTAAGTCATAATGTTGGGCAGGCCTAGTAGAAACGAACAACAAATAAAATGATACATGGGATTGGGATCGAGCAGGTCCAGAGGACATGAATAAGCTCTCTCAGCTTACATCTTTGACCTGATTTGAGGGAGTTCTCCCAGACTTTCTAATGCAGGAAGAAAAGCTCAGGCTTGATTAAATCGGCATGGAATGTTGGTGCAAGTGGAAAATAAACTGCTGGGCGCCACAGCCTCACTCAGAGGTGGCCTTTGAAAGTGGACAGATTAGCCTGTGCAGCTGGTCAATGACTTGATGTAGAGAGAAGTGGCCTGAAGTAAGGCTATACATGGACTCGTGAGCAGTGGGGAATGACTGGCCTGGGTTGATCAGGGACCTGCAAGGCAAACTGTTGGAAGTGACTCACTTCTGTGAGTTCTATGAAGGCTGTAAACCCTAGAGGAAGCACCTCATGCAGCCAGTTCCAGTATAATCGTGAATAGTGGTTGGACAGAGGCAGCCAATTGATGACCTTAGCAGCTCATAGTCGTGGAAAGAGCATCTTCTATGATGGGGCACCGAAGAGCTGGCAGGGAAAGCAGAGTGATCGAGGCTTGATATAAAGTGGTTGTTCCTAGTAAGAGGGCCCTTCAACAAAAGGAGAATTCCTGGAACCACACATTCTAGCATCAAGTCCACCAAAAATCCAGACAGGACCAGTGTGATCGTTAATATTTGTGTCAACTGGGCAAAGCAATGCCCACATATTTGGTGAAATGTTGTTTCTTGGTATGTCTGTGAGGGTGTTTCTGGATGAGATTAACATTTGAATCAGTAAACTGAGTTTAAAAAGTCACCCTCACCAACGCAGGTGGATATCATCCAATCCACTGAGGGCCTGACTAGAACAAAAAGGTAAAGGAAGGGCAGTTTTGCTTTTTGCTTGAATTGGCATCCATCTATTTCTGCCCTTGGACACCAATACACCTGGCTCTCGGGCCTCTGGACTCAGACTGGGACTTACCATCAGCTCCTCTCTTCTCAGGCCTTCAGACTTGGACTGAATTACACCACTGGCTTTCTTCATTCTGCAGCTTGTTGGTGGCAGACTGTGGAACTCCTTGGCCTCCATAATCATGAGTCAATTCCTATAATAAATCTCCTGTATATATCCATATATATTCTATTGGTTCTTTCTCTGGGGAACACTCATCAATATGACCATTCATTTCTCTGAGGTCATCAGTCCAGAGAGCAGCCCAGATCCATCACTCTGATGTTAAGAGAGAATCCAGAGGATACCATGAAGAGTACGGAGAACGTGTATCTCCTACCTCCATCACCAGGACTTTGTGGAAGTTATATTCTACCCTATGTCGACTGAAAAAAAAAAAAAAAGTACAATCTAAAAGTTGAGAATTACATTTTATTTGGTGGACTTGCTGAGGACTTTAGCCCTGAAGGCAGCCTCTCAGATGTCTCTGAGGGACTGCTCCAATGAGGAAAACGAGGAGCTAGGATATATAGAAGTTTTTGCTGTAAAAAACAGGTAGTTGGAACATCAAAAGATTACTGTTAAAGAAAAACAGATATCAAGTTAATTTATTTGGCACTTTTCTATGTTTGGGAAGATGCAAGAGTCTGGGCTCAATGAAATCATGCCTTTGATACACACCTTAACTATCTAGGGCCAGTATCCTGCCTTTCTTCATCCTGAATCCCTTCAGGGTGTACAGTCTGGGCGGGTGCAGTGGCTGAGGGCTTGATGGCTGCAACATCCTTTGTTTACTGATATGGCGGTGACATTCTTTGTCCACACCTTCTGATTCTCTTTTGAAGGGTTGCAGGAAGAGGACAAACTTTAAAATTTCACCTGGGTTATCAAAGCAGAAACTGGTTTAGTTAAAGAGACAGTTGAAAGTAAGAGAAGGTGAGTATGCTAGATTTTTTTTTTTAATCCAAATTTCTCACTTAACTACCCAGTGGAGAGGGGAATATTTGAGGGGATCAGTAATTTGGAAACCACTGCAATCATGATTGTGGTCTCCTTGAGAATGAATCTGAAGTTGATCTGTGAGTTTGTGAATAGCTGTTGGCATGTATTGATTTTGTTTTGGTTGGTTTAGTTTGGTTTTCTTCTGAGATTAGTCACTGAGGTCTGTGGAAATGGCTCAATGCAGAATAATGAGCTGGGGTCAAGGGGTCAAGGTTTTTTACTTTCAACCAAATCCATTGAAAAGCCTCCAGAGAAAAGAAAACTCAGTAAAAGCCACTAGAGTGAATAACTTAGATTCTAAGAAAGAGCAATAGAAGTTATACAACTTGACAAATATTGAAGCTTCTTAGGAACCTGTGGGACAATATCAAAAGAGCAATTATATACAGGTAATTGTAATCCTAGAAGCAAAGTAGAGAGAAGTGGACAAATATTTGAAGAAATGATGGTCAAACTTTTTTCAAATTTGGGTAAAGATATAAATAAATGTACAGATCTAAGAAGCTCAGCAAATCCTAAATAGAATGAACACATGAAAACCTGGGCTAGGCACATCTTAGACTACTGATCCCCAAAGATAAAAAGAATTTTGTAAGCATACAGAGAAGAATGTATAATACATATAGGGAACGATGGTTTAAATGATCAATGACTTATCAGAAACTACAGAAACCAGAAGACAAGGGAACAACATCTGAAAGTACTGAAAGAAACAGCTGTTAGCCTAGAATTCCATATCAAGCAAAAGTGTCCCTCAAGGATGAAATGAAATAAAAGATATTTGCAAATGGAAGAAAATTAAGAGAATTTGTTTTCAGCATTTCCACACTCCCTCACTACAGGAAATGCTAAAGTGAATTCTTCAGGTTGAAGAGAAAAAACACTAAGGTGAACCTGACTCTTCAGGAAGGAATAATTGCAAATGGTAAATACTTAGTGTTGGGCTGCACCCTGCAGGCCTACTAGCCCTGTGCTTGCCCACCTACAAGACCGAAGAAAGAGCCTGGACTCAGCAACAGAGACATCAGTGGTGTAATGGATGGGGGAGCTTACATGTCTGAAGCAAGGTCCTAGAGCAACACTCCACCGTGTGCTGCAGAAGGCAGGCAGGACATGGTGGCAGTCTTCACTCCAGGGGGAAGGGGAGATTACAGGTTATAGGGGAATTGATGTCAGGTGGGCTCATTAGTTACCAGGGAAACCAGTAGAGGGGCACGCCCCTCACCACCCCTTTGATGAGAACAGTCACTGGCTGGGGCCTGGGGCAAGTATGTAGGAAGGTCAGTCATGTGCTTAGGTGTAGGTGAAACAGGCACTGGCCGGGCAGGGGATGTACAGAGAGAGCAAGAGAACAGCCACCTTGAGTGGCCTCACCCTACATTTAGATAAATACTTAAGGCTATTTTTCCTCTCAATTTTTGGTTTAAACAGTTCTACGTATTTTAAGCTATTTCACTTTCTTATGAGGTTAATAATGTATGTTTATGTCATACATATGATTAGTATAGAAAAAAAGGATGGTGGTGGATGAATCACAGGGCTTGACTTCTCCCTGGTTTTGCAGGGTTTGTTCTATTTATGCCCACCTACTGTCATCAGACTGCCTTCAGAACAGGTATTCTGAGATACTTTGACCACACAGAACACATGGTTTTTTGTTTTTGTTTATTTTTTCTCCCTACATTTACTATCTTTAATGTTCCTTCAGTTTGTGAGCAGATAGGGTAGGGGGCCTCCCAGAGGAAAAGAACCAGTTATAGCTTTTTGACACAAGAGAAGCCATTTCTGGCCTAAGCCATTTTGTGATCTAAGTTGGGCCACAATGCTTGTCCTTGAACAGGTCTCAGTAATAAAGATCTTGAGGGAACAAAAGAACAAATGATTGTTAACAGGCAAGAGAAGTAACAATAGCAAAGATAATGAATCATTTGTAAAGACCCCCAGTTCTGCTTTGCTGGTTGAAATTAGCCTGAAGCACTTTCTTGAGCTGTTTTCCAGAATTTAACCACCACCCCTACCCCTCACCTCCCAACCACCAGACCAACTGGAGCCTCAGAGATGATGATATTGACCTTTTCTGACCTTCGAGACTTCAACTAAAGTTTGCCCCAATTTTATGCTGAATTTTCCTCTGCTCAAGCCCCTTCATGCATATACATGTGCCCTTGGCTTAAAACTTCCCCAGTTTTGCTGTTGGGGAGACACTGCTCTGGGAAAGATCCCCAGTGTTCTCCTTACTTGTTGCAAGTAATAAATCCTTCCTTCTCCCAATCTTTGACTTGGTTGTGTCTTTTGGCTCAACCCCACCAAGAGGCTAACCCAGTTTTCAGGTTACAAGTTTACATAAGTGACCATGAAGACCTGGGCTCTGGTCCTAGGCCAGCCGCTTACAGATCATGACTTTCCCGTTCCACTTGCCCTGCATGAATTTCCTTGTCGCTCCTGTGAAGCTAATCCACATTCCCGCTAGCTCTCAGGAATGCTGTCAGAATATAGTGGCACCACTTGAAATTGTTGATTTTCTAAGTTTATTTATTTGGATCTTTGCTGCAGCACGCGGGCTGGGCTCTTAGTTGCCACGTGTGGGATCTAGTTCCCTGACCAGGGATCAAACCCAGGGCCCCTGCATTGGGAGCACGGAGTCTTAACCACTGGACCACCAGGGAAGTCCCACAATTGTTGACCAAGTACCTCCAAGAAGTTCTGAGGGGTCTGAGAGCAATTTAGAATTGGTTAAATGCCTTTTTCTATACTGCCTATCCAGAGCCTAGGATTTTCCTTTTGACTAATTGAACACTGCCATCTTGTGTGTAATTGTAGGAAATAGCAGGGATTAAATTCCTAAAAGGAAGGTCCTTAAAAATAACAAAACCATTGTCTTTTCATTCTTGTCTCCTTAACCTCATTTTCCAAAGGACGAGACTCAGATTATCAAAGAGGAGGTCAGAATAGCCTTGCGTAGGCCACTAAGACTAACTTGAAAGGGTAGAACTAAACTTTAGAGGTCAAGTAGCATTTGAATACGCCTTTTGGGGAAAGGGAGGGATGACCTGATGAGGGGTGGGGGTGGGGGTGGGGAACAATGGAGTCCTGGAAGGCAGGATGGTAGTTAGAAGCTCAGTCTCAGTGGATGGGCTGGGGCACTCCTGAGCTTGGCCACTTCCCAGCTGGGTGTTGAGGTTGGGTCCCTTCCTGTGTAAAACTGGGATAATAATCGTACCAGCCTCTAATCCTCCCAACAACCCATGTACCGTTTGTAGTGCAACATCTGTCACAGTAAGTATATAATGAATATTAGCTGTTACTATGATTTTGCCCTTTAGACTAGGGAGAAATAAAGGAAGTTAATTAAATTCACCAGCACCTTTGGAATCAATTCCATGTCCACCCCATTCTTCTAAAGAGATTTGAGGCAAGGAAGTGAAAAAAGTGACAGGATTCCTCCAGTCATGGCAGAGTATAAACACAGAGAACATAGTAATAGCTACCACTTACTGAGAATTTACTATGCACCAGGCATTGATCTATGTGTGTTACATGTATTAATTCATTTAATCTTTTAAATTTTTTCCCAGGTTTATTGGGGTATGATTAACAAATAAAAATGACATATACTTAGGTTGTATAATGTAATATTTTTAAGGTGTACAACATGATTTAATATATATACATTGTGAGATGATTACCACAATCAAGCTAATGAACACATCCATCACCTCACATAGTTACCTTTTTTCTGTGTGGTGAGAACGCTTAAGATTTACTTTCTTAGCAAATCTTAAGTATACAGTATTTTCATACAGTATTCTGTCTTATTTCACTTAAAATAATATTCTCCAGCTTTATCCATGTTGTTGTAAATAGCAAGATATCCTTTTTTATGGCTGAATAGTATTCTATTACGTGTATGTTTATGTGTGTGTGTGTGTATATATATATATATATATATATGTATACCCTTATACACTACTATATACACACACAACCTCATGCACTACATTTTTTTATCCATTCATGTGTCGAAGGACACTTGGGTTGTTTCCATATCTTGGCTGTCGACTAAAAAATTATTCACAACCTAAAAGTTGAGAGTTATGTTTTAACTCGGCAGGAATTTTTAGGACTTCAAGCCCGGGAGGCAGCATCTCAAGTAACCCTGAGAGAATTGCTCTGAGGAGGAAGGGGTGGGGAGCCAGGTTATACAGAAGTTTTGTCACAAAGAGCAGGTAGTCTGAACGTCAAAAGATGGTTGTTAATTAAAGAAAACCAGATATCCCAAGTTCAGGAATTTAGCACTTTTCTGTGTATGGGAAGATGCAAGAGTCTGGGCTCACTGAAATCATTCCTTTGGTATGCACCTCAGCTCTCTGGGACCAGTACCCTGCGTTTTTATGTCCTGAGTTTCCTCAGGGCTCACCGTGGGGAGTGGCTGCAGTCTGACGGCTGCTAGAGGGCAGGTATTCTTTGTTTCCTTCCTGAGTTCCCTCAGGACTCACCGGCTCACCATTCACTGTGGCTACAATTGCTGATGACTGTGACATCC